CGGGGTCGGTGCCGTCCGCGGCTGCTGGGGCGTCGCGGCAGTGCTGGGTGCCGGGGCGGTGCCGGTGAAGGACTCGGTGTGAAGAGGAGCTTTTCCCTCAGCAGCAGCAGGAGGAGAAAGACCCTGAGCCCTGGAGCGTGGCGTGTCCTGCGAAGAGGCTGCGCTCCGAGCTCTGGCGCAACGTGTGCCGTCCTTGGGTAGAATTTTGCTGCTGTTACAAGTTTCTTTTTAATTAATTTCTCACCCGAATAATTTAAACCTAAACAGCGTGATCGCTGTTTATTCTTTTCCATGCTCCTGTGAAGACAGTTTACTTATTTCCTTTAAAGCAAAAGAAAAGCACCATCACCCCCCAACGCCTTGAGATTAGAATTATTTTCTACGCTGCGCCTAGGCCGGCTATTCAGAACAACTGCTATTGGCAGTTCAGATTATTTAAATATATCTATTTCCTTTTGATAATGGTCTTTTATTTGTGAAACTCTGAGAGTTTATCTTGCAGTGGAGTTATGTGATGCTTGGGTAATACATAGTTTGCTGTGCGTCTTATTAAGAGCGTGCTGCTTTTTAACTTCTGAATAGCAGTAGGAGGCCTGATTAACATCTGTTTAATGAAATGAATCACAGAATGTTCGGGGTTGGAAGGGACCTCAGTGGGTCACCCAGCCCAACCCGCTGCCGAAGCAGGGTCACCCAGAGCAGGCTGCACACGGGTTGGGAGGGGACTGCAGTGGTTCCCCCCGCCCACCCCGCTGCCGAAGCAGGGTCACCCAGAGCAGGCTGCACAGCACCGCGTCCAGGCAGGGCTGGAATATCTCCAGAGAAGGAGACTCCACAGCCTCCCTGGGCAGCCTGGGCCAGGGCTCCGTCACCCTCAGAGGGAAGTTGTTCTTCCTCGGGTTCAGACGAACATGTTCAGAAACCTCTGAAAACATTCGTGCACATGCAAACTGTTATCAAAAGTTTTCAAGTGAAGTAATGTGGTGCAAAATATGTATTTAAAATAAACTGGACTCAAGAGAGCTCGTTGTGGAACTTCTACAGTACATTGGTGAAAATGTATCAAATTTTGATTATACTCAAAATCCTTCCTCTGTGGTGTTTAAATTCCAACTGATATTTCAGAGATTGGCCTCAATGTTGTTGTGGGGGTTTTTTTATAACATATTATGTTGAGGGAGAAAGGGCTGCATTCTGTGAACATATCAGTTATTTTGACATACTATTTTCCAGCTAATTCGGTGGAAGCATTCTAGTTTTAAATCTTCTTTTTCTATGTTGAACTGTCAAAAGTAATCTAGCTGTAATCAGGGCATAAACAGAATTTCCCTGGAAATTGCTAAACTTCCTCTTTTAATAGCCTCAGTTTCATGATTGCTATAAAGAATGTGCTAGTTATAATTGATGCCACAAATTGTATTAAAAGGAATGGAGGAGGGTACATGTGCTGTAATGTTGAAGCATGTTCACTCAAAAAAATATGAGAAGAATACTGATACCAATGTTTTAGGAGCTATAAACAGTATGGGTAATTCAAGCATGTGGAAGTGTTTAATCATACTTGTTTTCATAAATGAATTTTAGTATGTTGTCCTTATCGTTGTATGAAATTACATTTTTATGAAAGAGAATTTAGATGTCTAATGTACAGTATGCAAGCTATTTAACGTTTCAGCTGTCTTTGTTTCAACTGGCTATGCATAAAAACAGTTGAAGACTAAGCATGTGAAATCGGTTCTTGAGTTAACAACTGAAACTGGATTGGATTTATCTTTGATAACTTTTTTTTCTTGAATATTTGATCACCTTATCAGTGATCTTTCCACTGTGCCAGGCATGTTCAACCTACAGCCTCTGAAGGTTATGGAGAATTACGTTAGAGATATTGGGACATCATTTTGTAGCTCAGTCTTCTGAGACACATCGGGATACTCGGCAAGTAGAGTAAGGGCAAAGGTATTCTTTCTGGGGCAGCAGCAACCTTCTTTTCGCTCTCATCTTTGTGGAACACCTTTCACAGTACCTATTTTCATCCATCGTATGATGTGACAAGAGTGGCTGTAAAAAAATTCTGAAGCAGGAGGACACTAATTCACCTGATGCAGAGTTCTTGGTGGCCCTGAGATGACCTCAGGAAAGAGGGCTGCTAGGAACTGGCTTTATTGATTGTTCTGGTGGCAGCACGTTACACCTGCCTTTTTTCCAGGCCTGTGTTAAGGGGTAAGGAGACGCATCCATGTGTATGTGCTGCGTAGCACAAGTGCAGTGTACCAAGTCTGCTGGGAGAGTGCAGGTTCAAGACTTGGACTTCAAATTTGTACAGGAAATCAACTCAGAGATCAAACAACAAGGCACCAGGGTTCTGAAGTGTCTGTTCGGGAGACGGCGTAAAGTGTTGGTCATCGATGACATTTTGGGGAATATGGAGTAGGCACAGAAAGCAGAGTTTTGTGAAATTGTAAGTCAAACTGAACTGCTGTGTGACAGGTTATATCTTTTGACCACTCATCAGCTGCAAACTCTGCAAAATGTTTTTCTCTGGTTGCCAGCATTGACCATGTCTTGTGTAGGTTCTTCATCAGCAGATGCCAACAAATTACAGAATCATCTTTAATGATAGTGACGTAGTCGCGTGTGGTGACGGGTAGATAGGTGGCTATGCTATTTTTATCACTTGAGCCCATTTTGTCTGGTCTGCTTCATCACAGAGGTGCAGTCATTTAGGTAAATCAGTCAGAGAGGCTTAATCTTTGTAAAATTCTCCAAGTAGAGAGTCGAGTGGTGGAGTGCTTTCCAGCAGCACTTGGATGAATGTATTGCTGTAGAAGACACTTCATAGCATTTAAGCAGATCGCCCTGGATTCTTGTCACCTCTGTCAGGTAAGTCAGCTGTATGTCATGGCTAACAATGTCAAATGAGGATGACAAGAACATCCGGTGATGGGATGAGATCATTCGACACTGCTGCTGAAGGGGTTTGCTCTCTATCTTGGTATGAATCCAGTCTCTGCGTGCTCTAGGATACTCGCCAAATGAGTTAGAGGAGCTTGTAGTTAGTCTTTGGCTAGCTTCTCTGAGCCTTCTGACAAACAAGAGGTATATAGTTGGGTGATAGTTGGCTAAAATGTACTAGATTTTATTCAGAGTTGGACTGACTGTTTCCTGCTTCCACCTTTTCTCTGAAGGATGTGTTTCCTACTTTGGACAGGAACACAGTGCTTATCTGTGATGATCGTTTACAAGCTAGCAAAAAGATGAGTCAGATTATGAGTTACGGTCACAGCTTTCTTCTGAACTCCGGTCCAGCTTCTGGAAGAGCAACAGCTTCTAGAGCGTGCTGGTGGAGTGTGCAGTGGATTGTTTCGTTGGTGGGCAGAAGTGAAGTAGATTTAAGATGTTCAGGAAGCTCTTCTGAAAATGCAGGATCTTTCTAGCCAAGTGGAGCAATTGATGTTGAAAGAGCTTGGTGTTCGCTTGCTTTTGATTAATAGGGTTTAATTATTTTGGATGTTTCCTTAAATTAAGATTTGACAAGTTTGTTATAAAGCTACAGGAAGATTCTCTTTGTATAAAATAAAATTTCATGCTCTTTATCTGTCTTTTCTTTCATCATATTTCTGTCTCCCTTCCCCTCAGTGTAGGCAGAATATCCGGAAATCCATGTGGATGACAAGGAAGAAGGTGGCATCTGGGAGGGATCAGAGTTAGAGCGAAATAATGCTTCGTCAGGTGTCCAACCGGTGTCCTGTAGGCGGAGAGCGGTTGTCCCAAGCAGGCTTTGGGATGTTTCAGCATCTCTGCGTCTCAGTCGTTTCACTGTGTTTATTGGTGTGTTTTGTTGCTTGTTTTGTAAGGCCTTTGACTGCTCTAAGGGATGACTTGTTTGAGTTTGAATTGTAGTGTTTTTGCTGTTGGCATTGAGGCTGGAGAACGGTATGGAGGTGTAACCCACACCTGGCTAGAACTTGTGTGGCAGTTGTAGGAAGCAACGGAGATGATGAGTGTTGGGGCTTCTGCCTCTTCTGGCTTTTCAGTTCCCATTTGCTTGGAACGTTAGCAAGAGGGAAGAGGGATCTGCTTGTTTAGTGTTCCAAAAAGGCAGGGCCTACCTTTGTGCCTGCTGCTTTGGTGCAACGCAGTGATAACACGAAGTTGAAATTCTTAGACAGCATTGTCAGGGAATTGTGACATTTGTTAATTAACCATTCATTCTGTAGTTTTTGTTTTTTTTTTACTCTGTTTCAGTTTAAAATCCAAGTCCTGAAAACTCAGAAACACAGACATATTTTGATACCAGGGCTCTCTGCGTGTGTGTATAACTGTGCGCTGAAAATATTCCATAAGTATATATACAATGCAGGAGATAGTCAAGTCAGCGTTATGCTGAAAACTCTGAAATACCTTGGCACATAATTCAAAGCTGTTCTGCAAAGCCTTATTACTGTATAGTGTTGTTAATTAAAAGCGTGAATATAAGTATGAATGCTGGTGAATAGGAAGTTTTAAGAGGTGGCAACAGTCTGTTGACTGCAAATTTTGGAGAATTCCTGTTATCCACACTTAGATTTCAAGCATCCAGTTTGGAACAGAGCGAATTAATACATGGTTTTATATTTTTGCTAGAAGTAATACACAAAGTACTATATGCTCTTTTTTCTGTCAGTTGGTAGAGCTGGGCTATCTGTGATTGCAGATCATTCTTGGTTTTCTTAATGTCTCTCTTGTTTTTCAGTTTTCTACTGGGAATCCGTTATACGAAACTTACTACAAACAGGTAGGTTCTTAAAAAAAAAAAAAAAAAATAAAGTGCGATTTCCTCTTCCACAAGATTTCCGTCTCTTTCCTTTCCCCAGTGCAGTGCTAAACTTCTGTAAATTCTTTCTGCTGAGTGGTAATGCGTGCTTGTATAACTGCTTTGACCTAGAGACAAGGGATGTTTCATTTCTTATCTCTGCTTTCGTGACAGACATGCTTCAATTGAATGTGAATTTTTATCTTTCAGGTAGATCCAACATATACGGGGAGAGTTGGGGCAAATGAAGCTGCACTGTTTCTTAAAAAATCTGGTCTCTCTGATATTATCCTCGGAAAAGTAAGTTGAAGGAATTGGAGAACACAGTAATTATTTGTACACTTGCTTAAGTGCAGCCAACATTAAGCAGAAGGGGTTTGCAAAAAGGGATTCAGTGGAGTGCAAGTCAGATCCTTTGAACATTGGGTTAACCGCAGATTGGTAGTAGCTCCAAGGTATTGTTCTGAGCTTCAAAGGATTCTAAAAGGAAAATTTGTCTTTTGTGTAACATTTTTGTTGTTAACTTGAGAATTAAATAACGTTATATGTCATAACGTGAAAGCTGCAAGTTCAAGAAGGCATACAATATGAATTATAGAGCTGAGTTAAGTTTTTTATTTTAAAATCACAATGGCTTTTATTTTGTATCTCCACAGATATGGGATTTGGCTGACCCGGAGGGTAAAGGATACTTGGATAAACAGGTAAATGAAATGTGCCTGTAGACCTCTTGCGTTACCTTCAGCAGATTACCTTGTTTCAAGAAAACTCTGATATCAATAGCAGTTATACTTAGCTTTTTTTTTTTTGTTAAGGTTATAGTTTAAAAGATGAGATGTTTTTTTCCCAGTGCTGCTCATATCCAAGTATATTACTTAGTGAGGCTGCTGGAGAAGTTTCGATCTAATTTTCTGTCCCTCTTCTGTAAATAAACAGTGTGTGTGATGTATAAATACATAATAATCGAGTCTAACAAATACAAACTATTATTTTAAGATTTATTTTAGAAGTCTTTCTTGTGTGAAAGAATATAACTAGCATTACCAGAAATGTTCTGGAATATCAAATATCAAGTTACTTGTAGATATGGAGAATTTTTTAAAATATTATTAATTTTTAAGGAAAATTGTTGCAATTTTTTCAGTTATAGGAGAGTCTTTCTTGAAAACTAGCTTTGAGGTTTTCAGCTCTTTGTTCCATGTTACTGTAAAGTTTTTCCTGACTCATCTTTACAGGCAGTGGGGTGGTTGTTGCTTGCAGTTAACTGAATGGGTCTATATGTCTGTTGTTTCCATACTTTTCTCAGTTTCACATGTACAGTGTTAGTAAAAATCATAAATGGGTTGGTTGCTTTTTCTAATAGAAAATGCTATTGTTTGTAGGGTTTCTATGTCGCGTTGCGCCTTGTAGCATGTGCACAGAATGGCCACGATGTTAACCTAAGCAGTCTGAACCTGACTGTGCCACCTCCTAAGTTTGTAAGTAATATATACCTAGATGTATGTGTGTATTATATGAGAACTAAGGCTTCAGTTGGAACGCTGGAATAATCTTCTGTTTCATAAATGAAATGGCTGTGAGACTTCAG